ACACTACACGGCCAAAACCGTCCACTACACGGCCAAAACCGTCCACTACACGGCCAAAACCGTCCACTACACGGCCAAAACCGTACACTACACGGCCAAAACCGTACACTACACGGCCAAAACCGTACACTACACGGCCAAAACCGTACACTACACGGCCAAAACCGTACACTACACGGCCAAAACCGTACACTACACGGCCAAAACGTACACTACACGGCCAAAAAACCGTACATACCGGACCAAAACCGTACACTACACGGCCAAAAACCGTACACTACCGGCCACAAACCGCGTACCACTACACTGGCACAAAACCCGTACCACTACCGGCCCAAACCACCGTACCACTGTACACGGCCCAAAACGTCCACTACACGGCCAAAACCGTACACTACACGCCAAAACCGTACACTACACGGCCAAACACCGTACACTACAACCCTACAGGCCCAAACGTACACTACACGGCCAAACAAACGTACACTACAACACGGCCAAAACCGTTACACTACGCGGGACCAAAACCGTACACTACACGGCCAAAATGTACACTACACGGCCAAAAACCGTACACTACACGATCCTTAAGAGATAATAAGGCATTATAAGGGGGAATTATACATGGAAATGACTTTCAAGTCTTACAATACATAACTGAGGGAGAAGGTTAAGACGTTACTTCCACATGTTCTAGTAATTTAGCAGTTGTGTTGTTGTCTCATTATCTCAAAGCCATTTTCCACAATATTTTTGCTGTCAGTTCTAAGGATGTTTTTTTTGGCAGGAGCAACAGATGTGGCTTTCTATTGGGAGTTAATTATGTATAGTCGTGCTCAGTCAAACGATACCCTAGCCACCGTCTGTCCCAAATAGGAAAGCCACAGCAGGCCATTAAATAAAACTAAACTCTCCACTCAGCTCAGTTTTCTTCGGCCAATTGAAATGCCACCCAGTGTTTAACAAAATATGATTTTCTGTGTTTAAACTGGTGATTTGATCCTCAGTGTTTACGATTCTGAAGGTGATTTGAGTCTTTTTGGCAGCAGGACAATAATCTTTACTTCTCTGAAAAGTCTAAGGGCTCAAACAAAACAGTCTTCTATGATACAATACTGAATGTCCAGCCTATGTGTGAAGCATTGGAAGATTATAAAGGTACACAGGGAGGTTATGAAGTCAGCCCAAGCATTTCAATGCACAGCATTACTGCAACTCCAGAGTAGCCAATTCGATGATTACAGTAGCTCAGTTCTAATCTTCACTTCTAAATGGTCTTACAAATGGAGTTGGCTGCAAACTGCTTTGATATATGGTTAACATGTTGGTAAGCTGACTACTGTTTGTAAACAGGCCTCTGTCCTAATATATATACACGACTCAGCAGACTCTGTTCTCGACCTGTGTGCACCTACGTTGTAAACTTTCATTCATAGGCTAGGTTGTAGCAACCTCATGATGGGGTATAGAGAAAATTCTAGAATCATGTAGTAAGTAGCCTAAACTTATCCATGTTACATTGAACTGGGTGAATGGAATATGAATGACATTCATCCAATATGCTGTAATAGAAATAAGGCCATGCTCATAAAAAATAAAAAATAAAAATGGTCCTCCCTAATCTTAAACGGCACCGACCGGCACTGGACTCAGCAGACTCTGTTCTAATATATACACACGACTCAGCAGAGTCAGCAAAACACCAGTCTCAATGTCAACAGTAAAGAGGCGACTCCGGGATGCTGACCTTCTAGGCAGAGTTGCAAAGAAAAAGCCATATCTCAGACTGGCCAATAAAAAGAAAAGATTAAGATGGGCAGTCTGAGATATGGCTTTTTCTTTGCAACTCTGCCTAGAAGGTCAGCATCCCGGAGTCGCCTCTTCACTGTTGACGTTGAGACTGGTGTTTTGCGGGTACTATTTAATGAAGCTGCCTGTTGAGGACCTGTGAGGCGTCTGTTTCTCAAACTAGACACTAATGTATTTGTCCTCTTGCTAAGTTGTGCACCGGGGCCTCCCACTCCTCTTTCTATTCTGGTTAGAGCCAGTTTGCGCTGTTCTGTGAAGGGAGTAGTACACAGCGTTGTACGGGATCTTCAGTTTCTTGGCAATTTCTCGCATGGAATAGCCTTCATTTCTCAGAACAAGAATAGACTGACGAGTTTCAGAAGAAAGTTCTTTGTTTCTGGCCATTTTGAGCCTGTAATCGAACCCACAATTGCTGATGCTCCTGATACTCAACTAGTCTCAAGAAGGCCAGTTTTATTGCTTCTTTAATCAGCACAACAGTTTTCAGCTGTGCTAACATAATTGCAAAAGGGTTTTCAATTAGCCTTTTAAAATGATTAACTTGGATTAGCAAACAACGTGCCATTGGAACACAGGACTGATGGTTGCTGATAATGGGCCTCTGTACGCCTATGTAGATATTCCATAAACAAAACAAAAAATCTGCCTTTTCCAGCTACAATAGCCATTTACAACATTAACAATGTCTACACTGTATTTCTGATTAATTTGATGTTATTTTAATGGACAAAAAAAATGATTTTCTTTCGAAAACAAGGACATTTCAAAGTGACCCCAAACTTTTGAACGGTAGTGTAAATGTAATTTATTTTTATTTTAAATAGTACAAATAAAGAGAAACCCTTGAATGAGTAGGTGTTCTAAAACGTTTGACCGGTAGTGAGTGAGTGAGTGTGTGTGTGTGTGTGTGTGTGTGTGTGTGTGTGTGTGTGTGTGTGTGTGTGTGTGTGTGTGTGTATGTATGTATGTATGTATGTGTGTGTGTGTGTGTGTGTGTGTGTGTGTGTGTGTGTGTGTGTGTGTGTGTGTGTGTGTGTGTGTGTGTGTGTGTGTGTGTGTGTGTGTGTGTTGTGTGTGTGTGTGTGTGTGTGTTGTGTGTGTGTGTGTGTGTGTACTATATATATATTATTAGAATATATCTATATATGATATATTATAACACACAACCACAACCACACAGATACATATACATTACACATATACACACACTCTACCGGTCAAACGTTTTAGAACACCTACTCATTCAAGGGTTTTCTCTTTTATTTTACTATTTTTCTACATTGTAGAATAATAGTGAAGACATCGAAACTATGAAATAACAACACATGGAATCATATAGTAACCAGAAAACGGTTAAACAAATCAATATATATTTTAGATTCTTCAAATAGCCACCCTTTGCCTTGATGACAGCTTTGCAGACTCTTGGCATTCTCTCAACCAGCTTCACCTGGAATGTTTTTCCAACAGTCTTGAAGGGAGTTCCCACATATGCTGAGCACTTGTTGGCTTGCTTTTCCTTCACTCTGCGCGGTCCGACTCATCCCAAACCATCTAAATGGGTTGAGGTCGGGGGATTGTGGAGGCCAGGTCATCTGATGCAGCACTCCATCACTCTCCTTCTTGGTAAAATAGCCCTTACACATCATGGAGGTGTGTTTGGTCATTGTCCTGTAGAAAAACAAATGATAGTCTCACTAAGCCCAAACCAGATGGGATGGCGTATCGCTGCAGAATGCTGTGGTAGCCATGCTGGTTAAGTGTGCCTTGAATTGTAAATAAATCACAGACAGTGTCACCAGCAATGCACCCCCACACCATAACACCTCCTCCTCCATGCTTTACGGTGGGAACTACACATGCAGAGATCATCCGTTCACCCACACCGCGTCTCACAAAGACACAGCGTTTGGAACCAAATATCTCCAATTTGGACTCCAGACCAAAGGACACATTTCCACCGGTCTAATGTCCATTGCTCGTGTTTCTTGGCCCAAGCAAGTCTCTTCTTCTTATTAGTGTCCTTTAGTAGTGGTTTCTTTGCAGCAATTCGACCATGAAGGCCTGATTCACACAGTCTCCTCTGAACAGTTGATGATGAGATGTGTCTGTGACTTGAACTCTGAAGCATTTATTTGGGCTGCAATTTCTGAGGCTGGTAACTCTAATGAACTTATCCTCTGCAGCAGAGGTAACTCTGAGTCTTCCATTCCTGTGGCGGTCCTCATGAGAGCCAGTTTCATCATAGCGCTTTATGGTTTTTACGACTGCACTTGAAGAAACTTTCAAAGTCCTTGAAATGTTCCAGATTGACTGACCTTCATGTCTTAAAGTAATGATGGACTGTCGTTTCTCTTTGCTTCTTTGAGCTCTTCTTGCCATAATATGGACTTGGTCTTTTACCAAATAGGGCTATCTTCTGTATACCCCCCGCCTACCTTGTCACAACACAACTGATTGGCTCAAACACATTAAGAAGGAAAGACATTCCACAAATTAACTTTTAAGAAGGCACACCTGTTAATTGAAATGCATTCCAGGTGACTACCTCATCAAGCTGGTTGAGAGAATGCCAAGAGTGTGCAAAGCTGTCATCAAGGCGAAAGGTGGCTATTTGAAAAAAAAAAAAAAAACTCAAATATAAAATATATTCTGATTTGTTTAACACTTTTTTGGTTACTACATGATTCCATATGTGTTATTTCATAGTTTTGATGTCTAAACTATTATTCTACAATATAAAAAATAAAGAAAAACCCTTGAATGAGTAGGTGTGTCCAAACTTTTGACTGGTAGTGTATGAAAATGTTATATTTCAGTTTTTATTTTTAATAAATGTGCATACATTTCTACAAACCAGTTTTTGCTTCGTCATTATGAGGTATTGTGTGTAGATTGATGAGGAAAAAAACAATTGAATCAAATTGAGAATAAAGCTTTAACGTAACAAAATGTGTAAAAAGTCAAGGGGTCTGAATACTTTCCGAATGCACTGTATATACGACTCAGCAGACTGTTCTAATATATACGACTCAGCAGACTCTGCTCTAATATATACGACTCAGCAGACTGTTCTAATATATACGACTCAGCAGACTCTGCTCTAACATATACGACTCAGCATACTCTGCTCTAACATATACGACTCAGCAGACTGCTCTAATATATATATACGACTCAGCAGACTCTGC